CACCAAGGCCTCGCAATCTACATTATTTATACAAATAGTTATAAAGGGTGCCCTATTTACACTACACTTATCGACTACACACAATCTTTGTTTCAAACACGCCGGCTCCGCATTCCACGTCCGACTATCCCGGCTATCTATCGGCGTGGCGGTGCGTTTGGGTGATCGCCTCTTGCATGAGCAGTTGTGCCTTGATTAAATCGACGTTGGGGATAACTCGTCGAAGAACCACTACCTTGAGCATGTGGATATACATGCCGCGGCCTCAAGTTGTATCTTCCGCGTGGCGTATTTCGCTGCATATCAAACGGAACGACGGCCGTGTCCGGCGTTTGCGGCGTTTGATAGTTCGAATAAGTAACGACGGATCCACCAACGGGTGAAGGATCCCCTTGTGCTTGCCAAGAGTGAGGATAATCTTTTGAAATACACACTGGTAATTCAATACTCTGTTGCTCTAAGCTTGTCTGACGATTAAATACATCTTCCATTTGTATTATGGTTTTTCTTAGCTCGTCTTTAGACGCGAACAACCTGCTGGCAAGTACCCACTGATAGTTGGGGGCTAAAGATTTCAGGAAATGCTTTATGAATTTCCCATCATCTTCAATCTTTGCCTTCGTTGCCAAACTATCGAGATTGTAAAAATATTCTACAAGCGGCTCATTAGGCCTCTGCCGCCTATAGTAAAATTCTTGAGCATAATCGACCTGCGAGGGGAACTGCTCCTTCAATTTTTGAGCTATGACATCATATGTGGCATATACAGAAAAATGGGTCTTATACCACTGCAACGCTGGCCCTTCCAGATACGTCGCAATCACGTATCTTTTTTGCCCGTCCGACCAGTTGTTTATCACACTAATCGCTTCAAATTGGGCTAGAAACTCTTCCACATCATTTAGGCCCGAAAATTTCTGTGCCGGTGTATGATTCATTGTATAGCTCTAATTTATTTATTTTTTTTACCTTACTGGTAACTACTACGAAGTGCACAAGCCCACAACAACGATTTTCTAATAAAAAGTAAAAATATATATTACGACCTTATATACGTTTTCTTGATGTTGTGTCGTAACAAGACATGAAAATATTCTACACCGGACTTTTCTTCATCGGAATCCTTATCCACACTTTTTTTCTGTTTAAACCGGCGCAATCCACCATTTGAAATAGGGGGTAGCTCAGATGCATTGCGAGAGGTATTTCTATAAACTCAAACTATAATAATCTTCAATTTTATACTTTATCTCACTTTTTTACATAATTTTGGCGTAGGGGTTACGAAACAATCCATCTTAATATGTATGTCAAGACCTTTCCTTGTTTTCTTAGCGTTCCAAATACAAAAACTATAATTATTATCTATGTTCAGCCAGCAATTCTACTCATAGAGTACAGCCTCGTCTACAGTACACTGACATGCTTATAAAGTTTGAGGATTTTCATGGGATCTCCTCATCGGATTCTGACTTGATAACAATAGGACCACCACGACAGTGCATCCTTAAAAAAAGAGTTTTCAAAATCCGTACACAATTGACGGAGAAATCAGAAAATATACGTAACACATACATACGGCCTCCTTTTATTTTGAAGTCGGTTAAAAATCGGCTAGTCAAGAAAATTGGTATTTATTGGTAATTCATATTAATTTCTTCTTCTTTTATTGTCTTATTTGGGTGCGTTCGTAAACAATTTAGAAATTACAATTGCAAATATCTTTAGTTGACTTAAAAATCTCAACGTTCTCAAAAGGTGCGAAAACTGCTTTAAAACTAAAATTATAGTAAAGGTACCTGACCCGATCTTTGTATTAACAATTAAAAACATGTGTCCCTTACATCTGACAGCGCCGTAGAAAAGTAAAAATCTGTTCAAGGTCATTTTCAAAGTAGAGCATTTGCGAGCCGAAGACGAAGGTCGGTGGTTTGTTATTTTTTACGTCCCGGAGTCGCTGATTGTCGCACTCCAACGATATTGCTCGACCTCGCTGCTTCAATCCTAATGATCACTGTGAACTATGAAAACGAAGATGCGACCAACATTTTTTCTTACCTTTTTAAAAAACGTAATTGACTACCGCACCCACAGACCACATAAATATTCCTTCCGTGACCGCACCATTTCAACCAGTTGTTCAACTATGAAATTCCCTGTTTTTTTTAATTCAAATTCAACAAATTTTTATTTCATATTAATTAAATTCTACTGCTTATTCGTAAGGCACAGTTCCCCGAGAAGAACGAGCGAGAAAGTCTAGGGGTTGCTCATTTAAATTATACATTTGAATACATTTAACATTTACAATATTTATTTCAAACATCTTCTTACCTGCAAGTGCTAAACGGGTCACCACGGATTCTTGTCATCCAAGTTCGCAGAAGCTGTATAATAACCTTTAGTATAAAGTTTTTGTTTCACTATAGTTTTAAATCTCGTGAATGACAAATTTTGAATATCAACCGGAATCTAATTATACATTGCCCCTTAAATGAGTTTGTGACTTTGTGAAGACGTCCGTAAAGAATAGCTAGTTTATTTTTATTCCTCGTGTTAATGTTATGTCTGTCACTATTTTTAATAAAAAAATTACTAATTCTTCTTAGCATAAATAATGTTTCCGTAAATATATAATGTTTTTAAACTTATCTCTCAAGGCACCCTGGGGCCCAGATTGTAAAGTGTACTCTGAAGACTAGAGCAACAGAATTTTGTAGTTGTCGATCGTGACGTCATAAATGGCTATACAATCGGTCGTTATACAATTTAACATACAAACTGAACATATTGTACCCTTGTTTATAATAAGTCATACGTCAAAAGTGATTTTCGGTCAATCTCAGACATTCACTACCCAATTTCATTAAAATTTAACTATTCTATTTTTTTATTGTGCAATATTATTTAATATTCGAGTATTGTATCGTGGAATACTATTTAATAATTACACGATAATGTGACTGCGGTGCCGCAACACAGTCCATGCAGCACTTTCTGTTGTACCCCTTATGTCCTTATACATGTACGAGGGAACATCTCTACGCGCCCACGGACAGCGTGGTCGAGGTAGCATCGTAATATTCAGGGTCGATATAGTTCTAAAACAAAAAAAAATATCGGCACGATAAGAAGAAGTAGAACGATAATATACAAGAATATTAAATAGTGAACACTAGTCCGAGAATGACCGTTTTATCATGGTTTTATCACATGAAAGTCATGAAGATAATGCGTGAAATAAATATGTAAAATTTATATACTTTTAATCTTTCGCGTTGCATAACTGCTAATTCAGCCCGTGACCACGGCCAGTGCAACCTTTTTTTTTTCTTTTTTTTTTTGACGGGGGGGAAATTTTTATGGATACCCCTGAGCCACGGAGACTCAGGGGTTATGTGGGGACTCTCCCTCCAGACTGGAGGGCCTACCCCACTAAAACCCCCCCGGATTTCCCTCTCGCCGGTTGAGTCGGCGCCGTGGGATCAGTGAACATTCACCACGACGCCGCCCGGCCGCCCTAGCTTACGCCAGGGCTCCCGCGCCAACGGAGGGGCGAGTCGGTTGTCCTCCGACCCGCCCCCCAGACGAGTGAGGCCGTGCAATGCAGGCTCCGGAGTCCCTGTCCAGAGCCCGCTGGTCTCACTAGGGCATCAGGCGAGCAGCGAACTGCCTTCGCCTTCTCCCCGTACGTCTTCGCCGGAGCGGATGCGCGTCCGCTACGTCCTCTCGCACACGCTCCGCGGCCTCCTTTAGCGACATAACCTCTGCGCAAAAGGAAGCCACCGCCTCCCCGGACTCCTCGCTATCGAGCATGGCGGCAACCACGCTCGGCAGCGAGAGGTCCTGCCCTACAGTCCCCGTCAGAGTGCGGCGCTGCTCAACACACTGACCGCTGCTCATCCCACCGCCACGAAACCTGCAACCTGGCCGAAACGTCGAGAACCTAGGTAAGTGTGAAAAATACCTATTCGTATGTAAACGCGTTTATTCCCGTTTCCAAATGTTAGTATGAGAAATTTTATAACTACCATAACACCATGATAACCAATTATTTTTTCATTAAATTACTCCACTAGTTTTTTATAATTATTAACACAAAGATCGAACTTATAGAAAAATCTCTAAGTGCTTGTTACAGATCTTTTTTTAACAAATCTCCTAATTATGCATAAACAGTTGTCAACTAATTTCGTTCGTAGAATCTTTAAACCTCTCTTCATGAAAAGTTGTAATTTTGCAGATGTGACCTTATTACACCAAGTGTGCGATGTGGATTTCCAATCAATTTACGAAAGTTTGTATCCCAACCTCATGCTTCCGGAAGTCGATCCTAGAACCTTCTCATCCAATACCCACCACTTCTCCACCCACCGCCGGACCATTAAGCCATATACTACATCCAGAATCTATGAGGCTGTGAGATAGGGATGGTAAGTATCCCCCATTAGATTAAAGGGATTTTGTTAAATTATAGTGCACTAGGAACCTCAAGATGCAGGCAGGTACTCTTGGTCTACAGGGACAAATCCTGGGACAAAATGTGGAAAAAAGGACTCAGAGTCACTTTTTCAATACCAGGTAACGGGACAAACGAGTCGTGCGCTTGGTGGTAAGCGACACGCCTGTCCATGCCAAAGCTCTGGGGGGCACTGTCACTGCGCCCGTCACCCTGAGTCATAAGTTGACAAGTCCCATGAACCTGTAACTTCACCAGCACCCTTTTAGGTACCTGTCAAAACCGGAACGCAATACTTTAATGTTCACATTACTGCTTGGAGGCAGAAATAAATAAGATGGCTGTATTTGCTGGATGACCTCTTTCACAAGGAGCTGCTGCTACTTAAATACTAGCACCGAAACTTAAATCTTAATTGGCCTGGAAGGTTCAAACCCTCATTCGAAGTATGTGTCAATAGCACCACCGGCAATTAGCCATCTCTCCAAAAATTTGCATTTTCAATAGCCAAGTTTGGCACGTGGTTTAATTATGACATTGTTTCCTACAACACCCACGCGACGATACATGAATATTTCCTGCTATATTATGCATCCGTCTTTGACTGGCCACTTTGGATTCAATTGTCTACCGTGCCAAGAGGCTTATAAGTGACTTGGAATTAGTGGAGGCGAAGCTGCAGAGCCTTGAACACTGCCGTAAAGTTGCCTGCTTATCGGTATTTTACAGGATATATTACGGAGAGTGGCGATGGAATTACACGATTAAATTCCGCCTTTCCATCACCGAGGGACTAGGCATAGGCTTAGGTTCCACCCCTATGTAGTGGATATTCCAAGTATTCGCACGAGACGTTCCGCTTCCACATTTATAAGACGAACGGCTATGGAGTAGAATTACCTGCCTGCAAACTTGTTCCCTTCACGTTATAACTTGGGCCTTTTCAAGGCGAGAGTGAATAGGCATTATTTAGGTGCGCATGCTCCATCGTCGACCTCATCGTCACTTTCCATCAGGTGAGATGGAGGTCAAATGCGCATTTATATTTTGTTAAAAAAAAAAAGATTATTATTTGCTTCGTACATCATGAGCACAGGCATTCGATAATAACGTAGTTTGTATATGCGGAGCGGGACGCCCGAACTTAGCTGGCTAAGCCTTGAGACCTATACTGGAGACTCATTAATCATTTCGTTCGAGGGATTTTTTCAAGGACACCAAAGACAGAACCGATGAAGAGTTCTTATTCTCATATATACATTACCAGAAACCTGAAGTTGTGAAGTTCTTGGAGATACGTAGGAATTGAACGGCCATATTTGAAAATGGCGAAAAACCAATTTTGACCACAAATTATTATCCGGCACTTCTAGAGGCCTCCGCATGCCAATTCAGAGCAAGTCTGTTTCAGCAGCAACTTTTGATGAAAAAAACGCTTACTTTTGACCCCAAATTATGGTTTAGGACTGGAATACCAATTTTCAGCCGGATTGAAGCAAGTTTTTCTTCGGCCGCCATTTTCAATTCGCCATCTTGTTTTTTTTTTATCTCAGGCAATTCACCACTATCAATCTCTATGACATTTCTTCGAGCACCTCCTACCTATCTCTAATAGTTTCCGTGATAGGAGACTTTGAAATTTGTATGGCGGCCATCTTATTTATTTGAATTTCAAACATTTTTAACTTCCGGCGGAAATTGACCAGGGTGTACCTCATAAATATCCCCTCC